GAACATTGATATTGTCTTTGTTATTCAAAAACCCTTGGCAATTAAAATAAACATGACCCGATTTAAAAGCGACATCCATTTCTATTTGCTATTTATTGAACTTATTCATTTGCATCTGTTCAAAACGCTTATATACATCACAGTTTTGCACATACCAAGCTACATGATTGGTATCTAATCTTAGTCCGTATTTATTGTTTGACATAACACAGTTTACACACTTATTTGTTTCATTAGTACAGTCTTTCAGTTCATGTTCTTCACTGCATTTTGGACAGGTAATTTTTTCTTTACATTCCTTACTTAAGTGCCCGTATTTGTAACAATTAAAGCACCTTAGAATGCCACAGTCACTGTATACGGGACAACGGTTCCATCCTATATTTATTCTTTCCATTTCAGTGAATAATTTGTAAGTACTTGTGTCTACCTCTAATATTATATTAAACCTTCTGTTAAACACTTTTGTTTTTCTTAAAACCTGTAACTTAAATTCGACTTCCTGGGGTTGTAAGTTGTTCTGTTTGACTATTTTTTGTACAATATCCTCAGGTTCATGATCGTACTCAGTTTCCTCTATTCCAACAACTTTTATTCGGTGCTCTTTTATTTTTGGGCGATCGACACTGTACTTATCACCAAGTTTGTTTTGTATTTGAGACTGAATATGTTCAATCTTCTGTTGGGTTGACCATTGCAATTCAAAATAATACCTCCATCTTTTGTTGCCCTACCCATTGAGAGGCCAATACCGATTTCAGTTGGATTTACCTTGTTTTTTAAATCCTGTTTCACTACAAAAATATCATTTTGTGTTGATTTTTGCTTAACAAGTAATATTTTGTTGTCGTTTTTGATGACAGACGAATAAGTTTTTTCCATTGTAATAGGAATAGGTCTAATATTTTCCTGACTTTTAATTTCCTTCAATTTTAATATTTCCTCTTTTAAGCTGCTGTTTTTGGCTATCAAATGGTCCACTTTAGTATTTAATTCATTCGTAGTTTTTACCAATATTTCTAGCCTTGCATTAATCGAATCCACCAAACTTGCCTCCACAAGATCTTCAGTACGACTCCTTTTCCTCGGACGTTCTTGTTTGTTTACATCGCTGCCCTTAACCTCACTTAGTATTGGACTCCAAAGCTTGCATTTCCAAGTGTTTTTTTTTCATATGGAACCCTCTAAGGTCAATATTTTCACATTTCCCGTGGTAGCACTGATTGCAAACAGTTCTTTACACGAAAAACACTTATTTATATCGGGACTGTTCACTGCATCAACAATAACATGATCCGCCATCCTATTACAAAAAAAGTATTACAAATACAAAAGCAATGAAAATAAGTTTGAAAAATACTGGAAATTCAAAAATTATGTAAAACTACAAAAATAATTGAAAAATTTCGTAAAATACGAAAACTACAAAAAAATAACAAAAATCATTAAAATTGCAAAAATCATGAAAGTTTGAAAAATATTACAACACTTACACTTGTTAAAAAATTAAGATGAGAATTGCAAAATTACGAAAAAAATCCGGAATGGAAATACTTATGTAATGGAAATTATTTTAAAAAATTACGGGAATTTCAAAACTACGTGAAATTGCAAAAATCATTGGCAAATTACGGAAAAATTACAAAAATCACGAGGATTACAAAAATTACGAGAATTTCAATCATGCGTAAATTGCGAGAATTAAATTTGTAAAAAAATAGGAGAATTAAAAAATTACGAAAAAAATCACGGGAATTTCTAAAATTATTAAAATGTCGAAAACATTGGAAAATAACGTATTACGAAAAAATAACAAAAATTACGAGAAATGCAAAAATCACGGAAAATTTAAAAAGTTACGGAAAAGGAGAATTATATTTGAGTATTACAAAAGCAATGGAAATTATTGATTGATATTGATAAATTACGTAAATTACAGGAATTACAAAAATGAAAAATAACGAATATTGCAAAAAATCACGGAAGTTTCAAAAAAATACGGGAATCACAATTATTGAAAAATTAGGAGAATTATAAAATTACGAAAAAAAATCATGGAAATTTCAAAAATTATGTAAAATTACGAAAATTATTGGAAAATTACGTAATATGGAAAAATATTAACAAACATCACAAAAATTTCAAAAAATCATGGAAATTACATTAATTTTAAAAAAAATTGAGAGAAGAATTATAAAATTAGAAAAAAAATCGAGCATTACGGAAAACAATGAAAATTATTGAAAAAAATTACGCGAATTTCAAAAATTACGTAGAATTGCAAACAATTATTGGAAATTACGTTTTACGGAAAAATAATAAAAACCAAAAGAATTTCAAAAATAACGGAAATTTCAAAAACTTACGGGAATTATCATTATTGAGAAATCACGAAAATCATAAAAAATTACGGAAACTAGGAAAATCATAAAAAAAATTAGGACAATTAGAATAATTGTAGGAATTGCAAAAATCACGGAAATTAGGAAAAATTGAAAAAAAAAAAATATCGGAAATAACACGAAAATTAAGGGAATTGCAAAAATTGCAGAAATTACAAAAAATTTCGGGACTACCGAAAATAATTAAATTTTTAAAAAATTAGGGAAATTAGAAAAGATACAAAAATTACGAAAATTTTGGAAATAAATCACGGAAATTTATTAACGAATTGCAAAAATCGAAAAAACCATGATGATTTTCAAAAAGTTAGAAAATAACAAGAATTACAAGAATCAGGAATTACAATTACAAAAATTATGAAGACCTTCGGAAAATTATAAAGTTTCCAAAAACGTCCAAGAAATTTAAAAAATTACAATTGAAAATTGAATTGAAAATTACGAAAACTATCAAAGTTACGAGAATTATAAAAAATTACGGGAATTACGAAAAAGTTACGGGAATTACGAGAATTAGAAATTAAAGTTACAAAAATTACAAAGGCTTTCGGGAAACGATACAAATTTTGAAAAATGCCCAGAATAAATACGGAAATTACGGGAATTACAAATGACCTATTAACACAGATAGACAGAACATCCCATTGATAAAATAGCTTTGTTTTGGTTGACTACATGTTTATGGGCCAGGGGGGGTGAGCTGTGAGAGCGGCTTGGAGTAGGGATTCAAATGATTCCGCTAACTCCGCCTCCATTTTACTATCGCATACTTGGCAACTCTGAAAATGAAACCAGAATCAGTGCTAGAAAAGTGTATCTTTATCCTTATATTTTACATAATTTTAGAAAAAGATGCGGATACACTCACTGCGCACTGATTGACAAATGGAAATTGTCATAAAATACCTGCAGGTCGCATTTTGACATGACAATTGAATAGGAGCCGCTGATTGATGGAAAGGTGGAATTCGAGGTGGGATTTATTTTTTTGCAGCGTTGCTAATTTTCATCGAAAAATAATAGCTTTCCACGTCTTAGAGAAAGATACAAAATAACACAAGGATTAATAAGTAGTGGGGAGAGATGCGGTTCCTGGCATGTAGTCAACCGATATTGTTGTTTATTGTTCTGTCTATCTGTGTTAATAGGTCATTGGGAATTACCTACTAATTTTCGAAATATACAAGTACGTGCAATTAATAAAATAACGGAATTTTCTGAGAAACTACGGAAATTAAAAAATTACGAAAATTTGAAGAACAACAGGAATAGATAAAAAATTATAAGAATTATTTGAGAAATGACATGAATTAAAAAATTTCTAAAGAAAAATTACGAGAATTACGAGTCTTCGAAAATTACAAATTTTGCTATCATGAGCTCTTTATTTTCTTCTTTTTCTGGAAAATTTTCACAATTTTCCTGCCAGTTTCCCAAAAAAAAATCAAAATGTAAGAGGGTGCATTTTGCCTAAACAAGTCAATTTCCCAGAATTTTTCCTGGAGTGATTTTTGACTGGAAAATTTTGAAATTCTTCTATAATGAGCTCCTCACTTTTCTTTTTCTTCTGGAAACATTTCACAATTTTCCTTTTGCCAGATTTCTAGAAAAAAATTAAAATGTAAGAGGATGAATTCTCCTTAATTTTGCTTAAAAGTTAGTTTTTCAAAATTTTTCTTGGAGTGATTGTTTACTGAAAAATTTTGAAATTTTCGTAAAATGAGCTTCTCATTTTCCTTCAAAATTTTCCCTTTGCCAGTTTTGCAGAAAAAAATTAAAATGTAAGAGGTGAATTTTCCTTAATTTTACTTGAAAAAGTCAATTTTTCAGAATTTTTCCTGGAGTGATTTTTTACTGGAAAATTTTGAATTTTCGTTTCGCTCCTCATTTTCTTCTTATTCCTGGAGAAATTTCAAAATTTTCTCTCTGCAAGTTTTCCAGAAAAAAATTAAAATGTAAGAGGGTGAATTTTTTTTAATTGCTTAACATATTTGAGATTTCAGTCGTAAAAAAAAGAATCACCCTTTGTCGTTTGTACATGATATTTAGGAACACCCTGTATAATACGCAGTTAATTAATTTATATATTTGGGACTCTAATGATTTTTTAAGAGCCGGTATTTCAATGTCAGCTTAAGATATAGATTAAACACAGACATTGACAACATTGTCTGACCTTCTTCGATGACGTCATCCTAAATATAACATAAAAACCCTATACTTTAGGGTAAGTCTTGATTTTAAGGTAATATTGTAATACCGGCCCCGGTTGAAAAATTTTGTTCCATAACAGTAATAATTGCCAACGTGCTCTATGAATTAATCAACGACAAATACTTTTTTCTAAATTATGACGTCATCGATGGCGTAAGTAAGTACAAAAAGTGCAAAAAAAAATAAAATAATTTGGTTGCACTAATTTTTTATATAAGTGTTAGGTAGTGTTATGGTGGGATGCCGAATAGGAGTGCTAATTTAGGGGTGCTTAGCACCCCCAAGCACCCCCCTAGTTGCGCCTATGTTTCAATAATCTTTTAGAACTTTTGACCGTCAACCCACAGGACAAAAGGAAGTATCTACAAAGTACAAACAAAAAAGAACAATAATACAAAATTTCTATTTCTCAAACTAATCACAAAACATTATAATATTTGGAAAAATAGGGAATAACAGAATCGAAATCATTCTGATTCAACTTCCACAAGAAGTCGTGGACATAAATCGTGTTGACACATTTCACCCCTTGTTTAGCTAACGGTATAAACACCGATAAGTCTTTGATCGATTTAATTTCCAAAAGACAATGAGTCGCATGTACAGGATCATTAAACGGAGCTTCAACATTCACTACAACTCCTCCGCCTGCTTGAATAACATTCGAAATCAAGTCTTTTTTTTCAGCAATTATAATCGCTCGCATGTCGTGAAAAGCACCATAGCCCCTGAGCCCTATATCTTTTCGCCAATTAGAAATACAAGCGTCTTTTTTTTCGTAAAAAGTATTCTTCTTGGCTTTGGGATTTCCAAATTCGAATGCTTCTTCGTTCAAAAAATGGCCGGCCTCTGCCGATTTTTCTAGGTAAGACACGTGCAAGATCCACTTGCCGGCAGCCATGCAAGAAAGGGTTTTCTCATTTTTTGCAGGTCTGGGGCTTATTAAATGTGTCGCAGTTGGGACATATTGGTTAGAATTTATAACTTGCCCCCCTAAAGATTCTATAAGATTAGTCACTCTTTCACGATCTTCAATAGCTGATAGTAAAAATATTTTCTTTTTTGGATCTTTGATGTTTGCTTCTTCGTAATCCCAACTGACTGTGTAAGGTTGTGATGGAATTTCGGTTGGAACTTCAGATGATGATTCGGTGTTGCTATATGTTGTTCTTCTGGGCGTGTTATCGACGCTGCCTCTGAGCATTTGTTGTAGTTTTTCTAATTTTTGATGCACTTCTATGTTTTCCACATTTTCCGCTGTTTTGGTGTTACTTTCGGACAATGATTCTGATTGATTTTGGACTGTAGTTTCTGTAGCGGGTTGAGAAGTTTGACTATATTCGCCTCTGCCTGGAAATAAAAAGAAATATTGTTACTTGAAACCATTTTCTTGTTTTTACTAGATATGCAAGCAAAGTAAAATATGAAGTTAAAGAGGATGTGAACCAAAAATGAAAGTTTTAGTGCAAAAAAATCTAAGAATAAATATTTAAACTGCATCTTGCTACGATGGTCCGTTTTCGAGTTAGAACGTTTTATAGTTACAACTAGGTGTTTGTGACGTCACACTGGATTATCAGGACCAGTATTAACATGTGTAAGAATTTTCCAAAACAAAAAACAATTATCTCACTAGAGCGAATTGCAATCATTCAAAGTAAAGGTACGGTCCACTGACGACTGAACGAACTGAAGACTGCGATTTTGGCGGTTGTGACATCATAAGTTCCTGCATAATTCATCTTCACAAGAAATTTTCTCAGAGACTCTTTTGAATATAGGACTGCGGTTTTCACGAGATCTTAAAGGGCACCATAATGAAAGAATTTCTAGAAGAATAATTACGGAAGGCCGTTATCAGAATCAAACTAGGGAACTTGAAAGAATAAAGCATTAAATGTTACGGCTACGGAAGAAAATTATATTTCGAACGTGACTATAGAGTACCACTGAGATCTCGCTCACCTTCTGGTGACTGTTAACCTTCGATTAAAAACTTGCAACGCTGAGCATGCCCAGATCAAGAGACAAGAACTGCCTCAGTTAGAAACAACTCCTGTCAGAAGCTTCCGATTGGATGCGGATCAATAACGGAGTCCCGAATCCCGAACAACTGGGAAGTGAACAATTGGAAGAGAGTGACCTAGACCTCGAATCCTTTTTCGAGATTAGGGAAGCCGGGGACAAATCCACAAAAAGTAGAAGAGAAAAATCCGGCAAGCGAAGAAAGAAAAACCAAAAATAAGGATTACGACTTGTAACAAAATCAATAGTAAATTTATAATCTCGGTTCAAGGTTCATCTTTCGTGGGAAACAGTTTTGTTTTTTTTATAGATAGTTAAAATGTGACCCTGATGGGATTTAGTGTAGGAAAATTGTCGATTTTCAAAAAAAAAATCCTACCCAAAAGAACTTTTCATGGATGATAGGCGGAGGGTGGGTGATCATAAAACCGAAAATATCAAACATTCACCCCTCTGGCGTTTTGCGCTATAGGGGTTGAAAGTGCGCCATTGGCGATTACTTGGTACCTATTGATTTTACAAAAAAAAAATTCAAATAAAAGATGTGCAAAATTATTTGTTCTACAATGTTTATCTAAAGACTTTTTTGATTAAGGGCCGTCTGTGGTTTTATTAACGACTAGTGTATAATGTGCGTATTATATTTGTGATTTTGGCAGTATAATGACATATGTTATTCCTCCAGGGATTAATGACAAGTAGCGGGATTAATGGTCATTATTCCAAAAAAGTGTCAGTGTCAAACGTGTAGTGCTTGTGGATTTGTATTGAAAATTATGAGACGGATGAAATTTGTTCATTGAAAATCTCAAATAAATTAATTTGTCGTAAATAAAGTAGAGTATACTACTCGCAATAATGGCTATTATTCCCTCGGAATGTTACTCCCTTGCCGCTAACGCGGCTCAGTTCGTAATAATCCTCGGGAATAATAGCTATCATTATTGACTCGTGGTATAATCTACTATTATAAGATGACATTTCCTACAATTTTTCCTAATCAACTTTTTTTGTAACTCACCCCCATTCAGCGGGGGGACACTTCCCTCGGGGAAATTTTAGTTTTTAGGGGTATATATTAATTTTTTTTTTCTTTTCTCGCCTTTAATGCATATAAAAAGTTGCAATTAACATTATAATAAAAGGATTTTTTTTTTCGCCACCTTTTTATTTTTAGGGGTAGTTCGCCTATTTTCAACTTTACAAAAAAGATTTATTAAGAAAACTTGTTTATTTTATTATTTTGAGCAACTTTTCTCCATAACTTTTTTTTTGTAAAGTTGAAAATAGGCGAACTACCCCTAAAAACAAAAAGGTGGTGGAAAAAAAATTCTTTTAATACAATGTTAATTGCACCTTTTTATATGCACTAAAGGCGAGAAAAGGAAAAAAAAATCAATATACAGGGTGTTTAAAAAAGACGCGGCAATATTTGAGGGGGTGAATCCTCAGGTCATTTTATGGAAAAAAGTTCTTGCTTCGTTTACAAAATAAAAAATGAAAACTATTTTCTTGCTTGTCCATTAGGATACAAAAACATTACAAAAACTATTCAAAGTGACCACCCCCGGCGTGGATGCAGGAATCCAATCTTCTCCTCATTGACTGGCGAACTCTCTCAAAAATACCAGGGTCATTTCTAATTGAGTTACACCCACCAATGATTTGATCTCTTAGGTCTAATCTTTACCACCCTGTATCTTGCAAAAAATGCATTTCCGGACCTATGTTTATGGGAACTTTTTTCCATAAAATGACCTGAGGAATCACCCCCTCAAATATTGCCGTGTCTTTTTTAAACACCCTGTATACTCCTAAAAACTAAAATTTGCCTAAGGGAAGTGTCCCCCCGCTGAATAGGAGTGAGTTACAAAAAAAGTTGATTGGGAAAAATTGTAGCAAATGTAATCTTATAAATTTTTATAAGGAAATTTTTTTTGTGAAAAAATAAATAAACTTTAAACTACCCCTATTGAAAAACGGCAGGGGGTGAGTAAAAACTTCATAAAGCAAAAATGTTGTATGTGTTGTAGAAAAATTTTTCACGTTGGTTAAAATTTTTCATTTTCATTATAAAATTTCAAACGGCCCTTATGACCACAGACGGCCCTTAATCAAAAAAGTCTTTAGATAAACATTGTAGATCAAATAATGTTGCACATCTTTTATTTGAAACATTTTTTTGTAAAATCAATAGGTACAAAGTAATCGCCAATGGCGCACTTTCAACCCCTATAGCGCAAAACGCCAGAGGGGTGAATGTTTGATATTTTCGGTTTTATGATCACCCACCCGCCCCCTATCATCCCTGAAAAGTTCATTTGGGTAGGAATTTTTTTTTTGCAATACATGTATTTTTCGACTATTTTCCTAGACTAATTTACAAACACATGGAGTTTCTGGGAACGACCTAATCTAGTCGAGGATAAAATCACTTTAAAGCCAAAAAGGTATCGAATTTTATAATTTCAAGATTATTTTGCTGTACACAAAATTGACAAATAAACTGCTCGCCAAAAAAAACGGGACAAGCAATTTTTAGCACTATATTCAATTTGTAATAACTTTTTTATTTTATTTTTGTTTTTAATGCGGTTTGTGGTATTCGATAGTCCATATTGTAGACCACGTGGGACAAGAATATTTTTTTCGGAGAAATGCATTTTTGAAGTTATACAGGGTGAATAATAATTGAGAATGTTCAGGAAACTCACTCTTACTTTTGTGCAACCCCTGTATAATGAGAAAATTTAAATTTCCAGAAATAGCCGATTAATTGCCATAAAATGAGCTTCCATTGTGGGAAAACGTTTCACAGTCCAATAAACCGTAAGCCACATCGTTCCAACATTGTGGTGCTAAAATGGCTCTTCAGGAAACTCTTATGCGAAAAATGAAAAAAGTGTTCCGAGATATTGGCCCAGAGTATCACCTAACCAATTTTCAAAGAAAACAAAAGGCATACAGATCAATTCATCATATTAGTTAGGTTAGAATCGCAAATTGGCGCGGGTTCCTAGTTCAAAAAGCGTCTGTAGACGTGATACAACGTTTGTTAGGGAAGTGAGTTGTATAAATAGATTTTTGATAATGTTATTTAACTGAGAGAGTGTTTGAAACTTGAATAAACATTGTTAAAATAAAAATATTACCAATTTAAGAAGCCGATGTTTGTATAAAATACGTATGTCGTTGCTTAATCCATAAGTATATATATGGGTACCGATAATTATAATAAAATAAAAGTGTACCTACATACTTGGTTAGTAGATGTACTTCAATAATCCAAAAACATGGAAAAACAAATGACTGAACTAGTGATAAATAAATAAATAAACAATTCACCAACAATCATAACACAACACACAACCTCACTTTCTTACAGCTGGTTTTAGACCCGACGTACGTCCACCGAAAACATTCACTTTTAATTAAAATCATTTGTATTTTTAATTCATAGGTCTAAAAAAACAATTAGAGCATGAATTATAGAGAAATATGTTCAAAGTTTGACGTATAATAGGTTCAAATACTAGGAAATGTCCAGGGGTCGTATTTTCGAAACCATGCGAATTGTTTCGCATGCGATTTAATTCGAATGAAAAATGTCATGTACGAACTAAAATGCGTATTTTTGAAGACCCTTCGAAAATTATATCGTATACGAGTATTATTTGCGTTGACAACGTCGCAAATTCGAGTATTTGATAATGGCCATTTCGACAGATACAAAAACGAAAAAGATTTTTTTGACATCTGACTTTTTAAATGCTGGTATATATCTTGCTAAAATAAATTTCGTGCACCTAATCGTTGGGATTTCCTATTTAGAACATCCTTGCTTTTATAACGTTAATGAACAATCATGGTTTTTGGATGGGACTCTAAAAGCTCTATCAACTCCAAGGTGAGTAGCTTCGTCAGGCGATATAATTTTCGGAACTAAGTACCTACTGTATGATTACATTTAATCAACATAGCTTTTCGCTTATGTATTTAATTTTTCAATCAACTTAGCCCTGAAAAGCGTGAGAGTCACCCGTTGTAAAAGAGTTGACTGATAATAATTTTTATGACACATGCCTTGTCTTTTTAATAAAAAAAAAGTAAGAAAAAACCAAAGTTGGAAGTAAAAATTTACATTTATTTCCCTTCCTGCGGGTTGGGTGGTCCTTCGAAGATACAGAGTAGCAAGTTCCCGATTAATAGCTCGACGATACGAAACATTGGTCACTTCGGCCAGGATTGGAACAGCGAAGAAAGAATTACATCAAGTTTTTCACGAATTTGTGCCTACGAAAGGTTCCCGAAAGTCATTTTCACGA